GAAACATTTAGCTTCACATTTGAACACTGACTCAATTTATCACTCAGCGTGAAGCAGCTTGACTTGTGTGATCAACTGCATAAATCTGTGTTCTGTGTGCATCACGCCAACATCACACCAGCATCACCCCTGCATCATGTCAGCATCACCCCTGCATCATGTCAGCATCACCCCTGCATCGTGTCAGCATCACCCCTGCACCGTGTCAGCATCACCCCTGCATCGTGTCAGCATCACGCAAGCATCACCCCTGCATCATGTCAGCATCACCCCTGCATCATGTCAGCATCACCCCTGCATCGTGTCAGCATCACCCCTGCATCGCGTCAGCATCACCCCTGCATCGCGTCAGCATCACCCCTGCATCGTGTCAGCATCACCCCTGCATCGTGTCAGCATCACGCAAGCATCACCCCTGCATCATGTCAGCATCACCCCTGCATCATGTCAGCATCACCCCTGCATCATGTTAGCATCACCCCTGCATCATGTCAGCATCACGCTTGCATCACTCCTGCATCATGTCAGCATCACGCTTGCATCAACCCTGAATCATGTCAGCATCACCCCTGCATCATGTCAGCATCACACCAGCATCATGTTAGCATCACGCTAGCATCACCCCTGCATCATGTCATTATCAAACCTGCATCATGTCAGCATCACACCAGCATCATGTCAGCATCACCCCTGCATCATGTCAGCATCACGCTAGCATCACCCCTGCATCATGTCAGCATCACCCCTGCATCGTGTCAGCATCACGCTAGCATCACCCTTGCATCATGTCAGCATCACCCCTGCATCGTGTCAGCATCACGCTAGCATCACCCCTGCATCATGTTAGCATCACCCCTGTGTCATGTCAGCATCACGCTTGCATCACTCCTGCATCTCGTCAGCATCACACCAGCATCATGTCAGCATCACGCTAGCATCACCCCTGCATCATCTCAGCATCACCCCTGCATCATGTCAGCATCACCCCTGCATCATGTCAGCATCACACCAGCATCATGTCAGCATCACGCTAGCATCACCCCTGCATCATCTCAGCATCACCCCTGCATCATGTCAGCATCACCCCTGCATCATGTCAGCATCACACCAGCATCATGTCAGCATCACACCAGCATCATGTCAGCATCACACCGCATCATGTCAGCATCACCCCTGCATCATGTCAGCATCACATCAGCATCATGTCAGCATCACCCCTGCATCATGTCAGCATCATGTCGGCATCAGGCCTGCATTCTTGTAAATAAAAGTTACCACACTGCATCTATAGATCCATCATCAGGACCGAATCTTAAATGATGAAGTCAACCAGGAAAAATGCTGGAGTACACAACTCTGTTACTCAGGAGGAAGTGTCCTTTCAGTGGAAGGAAGTGCGATAAATCCCTCTAGGCACCTCTCAGGAGACATTAAATGCAGCATCGGTGGTCCTTTTAAAAGGAGATCTAGTATTCCCCTTATATCTGTTCTTGTAAGAAATAAATATTAAATTTCTGCAAGAAATTATTAAACATAAAAAGGGATTTTAATCATTTTATGTTTGTGATGTGTAAACCATGCAGTTTGTTTAAAAGACTAGGCTGATAAATGAACCCTGCACATATTAAACACATGAAATCAGACAGAATGAGCAGCTGCTGAATTAAATTTGAAGTTATTACACAGTTTTAGTCACATGAAAACAAAATTCTTTAGAATTAAGGTGACTTAATTATAATTTTATTCTTTCATAAATGGAACAAACCATTTTAAATGTAGTTTCTAACTGATTTAATAGTTTTGAGGAACAATTACTCAGCGTTCATCCAGATCTGATTTAAATGTGTGAACACTAAAACCCAGATTCATAAAGAACTGTCTTTTCCCAGGATGCAACAGAAAGACTTAGATTTAAAACCAAGCTGAAAACCTTTGTGTGCGCAGAGCGCCCTCTTCTGGTTAAAGTGAGAATGCGTTTGTTTTCATCATGTCTGACTTAAAAACGTTTATTTAAACAACCGCAGTGACAGACATGAGCCAACTAATACTAAAATAGACCAGGAAGTAAAAAGATCCACAGTGTTGAACAAAGTCCAGCAGCAACAAAGCCAGGTCACCGTCAGTCTGTGATTTTGTAGCCTCCTTAAGCTCCCTCAAAGACATGACTCTCTTACTTTTACTCCAGGTCTCACTGTCGTTGCCCACGTGAGCGTTAAAGTCCCCCAGCAGAACGAGGGAGTCACCAGAAGGAGCGCTCTCCAGCACCCCCTCCAAGGTCTCCAAAAAGGTGGGTGGTCTGAATTGTAGTTTGGTGCATAAGCACAGTCAGAACCTGTCCCCTCACACGTAGGTGGAGAGAGGCTACCCTCTCATTCCCCAGGGTAAACCCCAACGTACAGGCCCCAAGATGGGGGGCAACTAGTACGCCCACTCCTGCTCGGCGCCTCTCAGTGGGAGCAACTCCAGAGTGGTATAAGTCCAACCCCTCTCAAGGAAACTGGTTCCAGAGCCAGAGCCATGCATTGAGGTGAGTCAGACTATATCTAGTCTGAACCTCTCAACCTCACACACACACTCAGGCTCCTTCCCCACCAGAGAGGTGACATTCCATGTGCCAAGAGCCAGCTTCTGTAGCCGAGGATCAGGCCGCCAAGGTCCACGCCCTCGACTACCACCCATCACACACTGCACCAGACCCCTTTGGCCCCTCCCACAAGTGGTGAGCCCATGGGAAGGGGGACCCACGTTTCCTCTTCGGGCTGTGCCCGGCCGGGCTCCATGGGTGAAAGTCTGGCCACCAGGCGCTCGCCAACAGGCCCCGCCTCCAGGCCTGGCTCCAGAGGGGGGCCCCAGTGACCCACGTCCGGGCGAGGGAACATGGTTTCCATTTATATAATTCATCATAACAGGTCTTCAGGCTGCTCTTTCTCTGATCCTTCACCTAGGACCTGTTTGCCAGGGGTGACTCTACCAGAGGCAGAAAGCCTCAGACAACTTAGCTCCTAGGTTCATTGAGGCACTCAAACCCCTCCACCACGGTAAGGTGGCAGCCCAGAGAGAGGCGTCCTGAGCCTTCCTGGTAAGGTCTAGCAGGGGTTCTGGAGAGGAGGGTCCATCGGATTGTTGAACCTCAGATTCAGGAGGAGCAATGTGGTTTTCGTCCTGGCCGTGGAACACTGGACCAGCTCTATACCCTTAGGGGGATCCTGGAGGGTGCGTGGGAATTTGCCCAACCAGTCTACATGTGTTTTGTGGATGTGGAGAAGGCGTTTGACCGCATCCCTCGGGGGGCCCTGTGGGGGGCCCTGTGGGGGGTACTCTGGGAGTATGGGGTACCAGGTCCTCTGATATGGGCTGTTAGATCCCTGTATGACCGGTGTCAGAGCTTGGTCCGCATTGCCGGCAGTAAGTCGGGCTCTTTCCCAGTGAGAGTTGAACTCCACCAAGGCTGCTCTTTGTCACCGATTCCGTTCATAACCTTTATGGACAGGATTTCTAGGTGCAGCCAAGGTGTGGAGGGCATCCGTTTTGGTGGCCTGAGGATCAGTTCGCTGCTTTTTGCAGATGATGTGGTCCTGTTGGCTTCATCAGAACGTGATCTTCAGCTTTCGCTGGAGCGGTTCGCAGCCGAGTGTGAAGCAGCTGGGATGAGAATCAGCTCCTCTAAATCTGAGACCATGGTCTTGATTCAGAAAAGGGTAGAATGCCTTCTCCGGGTCAGGGATGAGGCCCTGCCCCAAGTGGAGGAGTTTAAGTATCTCAGGGTCTTGTTCACAAGTGAGGGAAAACTGGAGCGTGAGATCGATAGGCGGATTGGTGCTGCATCTGCAGTGATGTGGACGTTGTACCGGTCTGTCGTGGTGAAGAGAGAGCTGAGTCAGAAGGAGAAGCTCTCGATTTACCGGTCGATCTCCGTTCCTACCCTCACCTACGGTCATAAGCTTTGGGTAGTGACCGAAAGAACGAGATCGCGGATACAAGCAGCCGAAATGAGTTTCCTCCAAAGAGTGGCTGGGCTCTCTCTTAGAGATAGGCTGAGAAGCTTGGTCATCCGTGAGGGGCTCAGAGTAGAGCTGCTGCTTCTCCACATCGAGAGGAGCCAATTGAGGTGGCTCAGGCATCTGGTCAGGATGCCTCCTGGATGCCTCCCTGGTGAGGTTTTCTGGGCACGTCCAACCAGGAGGAGCCCTAAAGGTAGACCCAGGACACGGTGGAGGGACTATGTCTCTCACCTGGCCAGGGAACACCTTGGGATTCCCCCGGAGGAGCTGACCCACATGGCTGGGGAGAGGGAAGTCTGGGCCTCTCGCCTTAGGCTACTGCCCCACGACCCAACTCCGGAGAAGCGGATGAAAATGGATGGATGGATGGATGGATGGATGGATAGTGTTGAGGTTCTAGCAAAACTAAGAAGTGTGCCTTTAAAGCTCTAGCTTAAAAAAATGATCTAGTGTTGCTTTAAAGTTCCAGAGGAACACCAAGGTTCCTCACATGAGTGCTGGCAGCCAAAGAGGATGCTCTTTTCTAACTGAAACACACTCTGATATGTGTGATGGGTGGGTGTGTTTCTGCAGAATTATTTAGAAAAATACCTAAATTTTCTCCCACCCTCTTCTTCTGTGACTCTTACCTCTTCCAGTTACCATGGAGATGTTTACTTCCCCCTGTAAACAGCTGATTATCACCTGCTGAACTAGACAGAGGTCAAGACAGGAAGTGCTGATTTTCCCTGGCACCTAAACTGGGTCAAAGAGGAGGAGGGGGGGGGGGGGGGGGAGAGGAGATCAACAAATACAGCACTTTACCACAACTTCTTATCCTGACTTTATATTATGCATGAGATAAAATGACTCTTTTTTAACCTCCTTTAGTAGCATTAGAGTTTTCATATTTTACAAATTTGAAGTAAATGCAAACATTTTGAAAATGCCCAAACTCCTGATTTGTTTTTGCACATCTTGTTTCATGAGGACACCTGGGGACTTGAGGCTCTACTCAGAAAGGTTTGCAGCTGTTTTTCTGCTCCTTTAACAACCTTTCAGTTCAAAGTCTTTGCAGAGCTAACAAATCCGCCGCCTCGCTCCAAAGAGGATTAGAGCTCCTGCTCAGCTTTGTTGCCCTAAATTAGGATGGAGATAAGGAGAGGTCTGCAGTCCGCAGCAGCCATCTGTCCTCAGGTGGACACTCTGAGCTGGAGCTGCTGTAGATGGAGACCAGGCTTGAACTGGATGTTCTGATCTACCCAGATGAGGTGAGGGTCGCTACCCCACAGGACCTGCTGGAGTGGGAGCTGGAGACAGCCAGTCAGGTGTCCATTCCCACCGTTCGACTCTTCGTGGCTCTTTATCCCTACAACCCTGCTGCCATGTCTCCCAACTATGAGACGGCTGCAGAGGAGCTGCCCTTTGTGCCTGGCCAGATCATCAAGGTCTCTTATTTCTCATTTCAAACACTTCAAAATGTTTTATCTGTGATTCTCTGAGTGTGTGCTGACTTCCTGTTGCAATGCATCTTAGAAATGCCGTTTCCTGTTTGTGCAGGCCTGCTGAGCACATACAAAGACCTGTCTCTTCGTTTCCTGTGCTCAGTGATGCCACTTACCGCCTTTTTTTTATTTAGCGTTGCCGGATCTGCTCCTGCCACGCGCAAACACAGTTTTCCCTCCAAAACCTAAACCAAGATGATGAAAACAGCTGATTCTTTAGGTGTTTGGCGATAAAGATGCGGATGGTTTCTATCACGGCGAATCAGGGGGACTCTCCGGCTTTGTGCCGAGCAACATGGTGGCTGAAGTCCCGGTGGAGGACGAGTACCTGAAGCATCTCCTCATGCAGCAGGGGTTCCTGCCTGTGGATCACACAGGTACTCATGTTCCTGCAGAACCCTGAAAAGTCTGTAATGCTGCAGCGATCATGTAAACTTCTGCTCAAGCTGCTTTCTGTCAGAACGTCCATTTTTTATTTGTGCGTTTGTGTGAAACAGGTGCGTCTTTAACACCAGATCTGGGCGACACAACAAGTGTCCCTGATGATGTCGTCGTTCAAAGAATGGTGGCCTTATTTGACTACGACCCGTGGGAAAACTCGCCCAACATGGACAGCGATGTAAGGACTGTCATTTCTTTTTAAAATCTATGATTTCACACTAAAATAGTGATTTTTCCCCCCTTTGTTCTGCAGGCCGAGCTAGGATTTCGATCAGGAGACATCATCTACGTCCTGGGCCCCATGGATCAAGACGGATTTTACTTTGTAAGCATTTCCAGTTCTGGCTTATATCACACCAAAATCTGCAAATAAGCTTTGATGTTTTTATGAACTCTTTAGGGAGATCTTCACGGACGACGAGGTTTGGTTCCTTCCAACTTCCTGCAGCCGCTACCCTGGAACTAGCAGCATTTCCCCTTCAAACGCCAGTCAGCCGCAAAAAGTCAGCAGCTTTGTTCAGAAATAGACAACATGTGTCAAATATGTATTTATATTTATATTTTTATAAGACAGCGTGATGTTGAGTGTGCTTTTGGTGGCAACTAAATGAATAAAACCTGCTTCTGCAGGCAGAAAAGGAAGAGAATCCCATTTAAAACACCTGGTTTGTCAAATAAGTTGCTTTATTAAGGTTTTTGTAAGAAAATCAAAGAAAATTACAAGTTTTATTCTTTCAAAGAAGAAAAACATTCCTTAAATTGAACAAAGTTCACAAAATAAAACGTCAGATTTAGCCTTAAAAACACACTTAGAATATAGTTTCCCTCTTTATGCCTTATAACATGTTCACGTGCTTCCAAGATGTTGATATTCTGTGCAGTAACTATTAAAAATGTCATTTTTGTGTTAAAAATACCATGAGAACAAAAGTTAAAAATAAAGAAATGTTGAATTTGTACAAAACTTACAGACCAGTTCCTTTTTTATTCTTACAATCCTTTTGAATTATTATTTTTTTATTTGTTTTAATTCTATAAAACTAAATCAAATAAGAAGTGTTAAACTTTTCCACTCCTTCTTCTTCTTCTTCTTCTTCTTCTTCTTCATTGTTCTCTGCAGACAACAGTGTAGTCATCCATAAAGTAGGAAACACTACACTGTGTAGTGAAGTTTAGTAGTGCTTTCTACTTTATGGGTGACAACACTGTACTTCTGTCCCTCCTGCAGGCTCCCGTGCAAACGCTGGAGAAGGACCGGCGGGGAGAGGAAAGGTCTGCAAAAACTCAAATTCACGTTAACATCAAATTAAAACCAAACAGAAAAAGCTGATTTAAAGTGAAACAATGAGAGAAAGCTGCTTTTGATCAGAGGAAATGAGCGAGGAAGAGTCCGTCTGTGAGGATCTTACCAGGGTTCCAGCTCCAGAGAAGAGAGAAAACCCAGAAGTGAGCGTGATCTTTTTATTAACCCCGTCTGAGCCACGTGGTTAACACAGGAAAAGCTGCTGCAACACACACACACACACACACACACACACACACACACACACACACAAGTGAAAACTAAAACCATTATAACATTTGAACTTCTTCCTAAAGCCTTTCTTCACACGTGAAGCTGCAGCTGCTGCTGCTTTTTCACGAATCACACGTTTTATGTCACAATCATTCATTTTGCTTTGAATTATTTTAGATTTTAGTTTAATCTTAAGCAAAAAGTTCAGTAAACTGACATCTCGCCACTCGGAAGCGTTTCTCAAAGACTGAGCTCACGTTTTAGAACCCTTCAAGCACAAAGGGCTCAGTTGTGACCTCGTTCCTTTAAACGACGTGAAATGAGGAGGTGACCCCTGCTTTTACGTCAAAACAAAAGTAATAATTTATGTTTTTGATCATCAGAAAACCCATATGAGCATTGATGAGACAAGTGAAGTGAGATCACAAAGACGCGTTTCTGTGATTCTCGGGTCTGAGGCCCTGACTTACAGGAAGGCCTTCGTATCTCTGCGGCGTTTCTGAGAACTCGTTTGCGCGCCTGCACGCATGAGACAAGGTGTGGGTGGGGGATGGTGGTGCAAGGCGTCCCCATCCCAGCGTGCAGTTGTGCTTGCAACAGCAGAAACTTTGCAAAAAGAGCAGAGGCGACCCGTGTCCTCTGTTTTCATGGCAACACAAACCTCAAAGTCACACCAAGAGAAATAAGAGGAAGCGGGGGAGATGTACTTTTTGCAAGAAAAAAAGAAAAAAGTTAAAAAGAAGTGAAGTGTGGTGCTAACATAGCGGCTGATTAAGATTTTAATTTGACTGGAAACCAAGAAGGTTTCTGCAGAGATGCCTTCATAAAAAGACTTGTTTGATAAACTGGGAACAAACCACACACAGGCATGACTGTGCATCCTGCTGATTATGTCAGCAGGACCTGTGCTTGCATCACTCCTGCGTTACCATGTAACGTGGGATTGCATCCAGCGTGATCTCCTCATTGGCTCACGCTGATATAGATAGCATAGCAGCTAATTGAATTAGTCTGGATGATCCTCCCAGAGCTCTGAATTATATTTAAGGTTGGATATCAACACAAAACAACCAAATTATTCACACGTAAACGTGCATGTGCGTCAGATAGGAGCTGAGAGCTGTATCTGAAACACAATCGGCTGCCGGATACTCCTCAGAAACTCTGAAAAATACACGTGTTTGTCAGAAATAAAAGTTAAAAATCCACAAGTTCTCAAAACCACGATCAGAAGTGTGTGTAATCATTAGGAAACGTCTAAACACACAGCTGCAGAAGTGTTGTTAAGTGCTGCCACCTAGGGGAGGCACGGACGAAGTGCTTCTGGGGACATGCAGGTTAAACTGGAGATTTGCAGATCACTTGTCTTCATGAAAAATGAAAATTGATCGTGTTTTAATATGTGTGCATGAAACATAAAATATATATTTACACGAAATCAACTAAAGAAGGCTAAAAGCTAAAAAATATCTACTTTTGTTCTGATTTAACCATATAAGGTCATGGGTATCATAAACCATACACCAAGTTTAGGACTTTTATAGAAATACCTGCTGTAATAAAGCTTGTACATGTTTACTGCCCTCTGGTGGAGGATCTAAGCGATGCAGGTGATTAATGCCCGTTTTATTTTAAATGACCTCAAAAATCACACCGATCAGAGATGACTTATTATGACTTATTAGATGTTTTATTATAATTTTCTCATTTTTATTTCATACATCAGGCTTCAAAGAGTTAAAACAAACTCCAACTTTGTTATTTAATTCGGACATTACAACATTACAGTATTTGAGGAAAGTAAAATTAACAACACATTAATAAAACATCTGTGGAACAATTCTTTACGCTGCAACAATTACTTCGTAAAATAAAATAAAGGTTTAGGTTTGTGTTGAAAAAAATAAAACAGCCCAAACCTGAAAGTTTAATAAAAAAAGTGAAATCAATAAATATCCATCCATCTTCTGAACCTGCTTCGACCACCCAGGGTCGCAGATGGACGACGGTCGGGGGTGTACCCTGGACAGAGAGCCAGTCCATCGCAGGGCAACACAGAGACACACAGGACAAACAATCACACACACACACACACACACACACACACACACACACACACACACACACACACACACACACACACACACACACACACACACACACACACCTAAGGACAATTTAGACAGACCAATCAACCTAACAGTCATGTTTTGGACTGTGGGAGGAAGCCGGAGTACCCGGAAAACCCACGCATGCACAGGGAGAACATGCTAACTCCATGCAGAAAGATCCCAGGCCGGGAATCGAACCCAGGACCTTCTTGCTGCAAGGCAACAGCTCTAACCACTGCGCCACTGTGCAGCCAAAATCAATAAATGTCCTATTGTTAATTTTTAAACAAGAAGACAAACAATTAATAGATAAAAATGTGCCCATATATTTTTTATCATTAACAGTATTTTAGTCAGTCAGTTAGTTAGTTAGTTAGTTAGTTAGTTAGTTAGTTAGTTAGTCAGTTAGTTAGTTAGTTAGTTAGTTAGTCAGTTAGTTAGTTAGTTAGTTAGTTAGTTAGTTAGTTAGTTAGTTAGTTAGTTAGTTAGTTAGTTAGTTAGTTAGTTAGTCAGTTAGTTAGTTAGTTAGTCAGTTAGTAACTTTTCATGCATCCAGGGCATGAATATTTTTTCTGCTATAAACAAACTAATAAAAATCCCCAACAACCTTTTTTCTGAGGCGCTTGATAATTTGTTGCACAACATGATGTGACATTTTAAACATAAAGGAACCGTTATTCTAATCTGAGCCGCAACGTTTTCTGACGTTCCCACATGAGCTCAGAATGGACTCCATTGATAAAACATTTTATTGCTCAACACTGAGATGAAAAATGAAGTCTTAAAACTAAAGAAAGCAGCGGTCGTGGTTTACTCAGTTGGATCTTATGAAGCAGCAGCGGCGCATTTTTGTTTAGTGGATTATTTATAGCAGCACAGCTTGGATAATGACAGGGATTAAATAATTACATTTATGTCACATGACCTTCTTGTCCCAAGCCAGGGGCTGAAGGGAGACTTGAGATACGTTTATTTGGATTATTAACATCTTTTTCAGTGGTCCAAAAGTCCCTCAGGAGGAGAAGGTGCAGGACTCTTGATCTTCTCAAGATGAATTCACCTCCGCCGACTCCTTTGATGACGAGGAGCTGCTCAACAATGAAGCTCTTGGAGCTGAGCCCTGGATACTTTAATTATGATTCTAACCTTAACACGAGTGCAGAAATGTAGATGGTCCTGTACGATCCAGAGCTTCTTTGTTATCCTCATGAAGGTCTGATCTCAGATTGAGCCTAAAGCACTATAAGAAGGAAAGATCCATTCCAAATCAGACCCCATCTGTCTGTCCTAGCCTCTTTGAAGGACCTGGGCATGATCTAGTTCCCACTCCAGGTCTGGTCCACTGCTCCAGAACCAGCTGGAGGTCATTGTTTCAAATAAAAAGTGTTTTTAAATGCGTGTTTTCTTAGATCAGGTCTCACCTCTGCATCCAGAGCCATGAAACTGGGATTCATGTGTGTGTGATGCGTTTAGTGACTGACTCCTCAAGACTCAGACACACAAATAAATGAACCCATAAGTATATAAATGAGCCCATATCATTTTACTGAGTATGACTCCTCTTTGCTTATCTCGTAGAATATTTTGGTGTTGATCCATAACGGCAACAGCCATGAAACTCCCGGCAGTGAGAAAGTTACCTTTTGTTTACAACAATGAGCTGCAGTGACCAAATTTGACCACAGGAAGTCATTCTTGCTTCAGTCCTACCTGCCGCACCTTTAAATTAAAAATGTTGCTTCAAAGCCTCTTAAGTATGTTTTCATAATGTTCAGCAACAGAAAACTACAGCGAGAAAAGTAAATTCAACATTAGGTAAAACGTAATTTTATTTAATATTTTATTTCACACTAAATATAAAGTTATATAAAATATGTATTAATTTAATCGGCACAGAACATGGAAACAAATGTGACCATGAACGCACCAGACTTCAATTTTGAGAGCCTGTTTGAAAGAAAGTTCTCTGTAGCGGTGCGTGAACGCACCACGGTGACGCGTTCAGGAGCGCTATAAACTCTGCGCTCCCTCCGTTGTGCGTCTCACTCTCTCCCTGTCTTTCGCTCCATCTCACTCTCGGTTCTCCGCGTCTTCTGAAGCAGCTCGCCGGTGTTTCGGTCGTGATGAACCGCTGGAAGGGCAGAACGGCGCTGGTGACCGGAGCCTCGGCCGGGATCGGAGCAGTCATCGCCAAGGAGCTGGTCCGCCACGGGATGAAGGTGGTGGGCTGCGCCAGGAACGTGGAGAAAATCCAGGTTCGCTCCAAACTTGATTCTAACTCTTCTTTCTTTTTTCTCATGGAAAAGGGAGAACATTAAACTGCAACAGATCAAATGAAATGTTTGGGGCTTAACCTGATTTGTGCATAATTTAACCCGCAGAAAAATGAAATAAAACTGTCATTTAAACTTTTGAGCGCTGCGGGGTTACATAATCAGCTGGGTGGGCGTGTAGCTGTAGAAGTCGCCTAAAGAGAAGCCATTCAGCGGTCATTTGTCTGCAGTTATGCAACAGAATGAACAGATCTTTGATAAATTCGGGTCGGATGTGGGAGAGGCGGTTGCACTGACCTGTTTAAAATAAACACAAACACACAAAAATAGCATTTTTCCTAAAAAAAAGACAAACTGTTTATTATTTCCAGCTGTTGTTTGTGGACATTTACATTTTCTATCAGAGTTGTGGCACAGAGGTTTGGGTTTAAAAGCCGGAGACTGTGCAGGGATCAGCCGCGGAAGTGTTTCCTAAAGGAACACCGCGTGAATGGTCCTTGCCTATCCTGCTGCTGCTGCTTGTCGACCACGCCTGAATCAAAGAGCAACCCCCAGCATCATAAAAGTTCAACTAAACATTAAACATCAAACAGAAACAGGATTCATTTCGCTCCACCTTGTTACTAATAGATCAAGAGATGAGTTAGCGATGTAGTAATGTGCATTCTTCTGGCATCCGATCACTTTGTAATCATTCATCTGCCGGTTTGGGATTAAAAATGACTAAAGAGGAACTCTTGATGTGATTCCAGCAACTGGCTGAGGAGTGTAAGAAGGCGGACTGCGCCGGGTCCCTGATCCCCATGAAGTGCGACCTGACCAACCCGGAGGAGATCCAGTCCATGTTCTCGGCCATCAAGCAGCAGCTGAAAGGCGTGGACGTGTGCATCAACAACGCCGGCCTGGCCAACGCCGAGCCTCTGCTGACCGGCAAGACCAGCGGCTGGAAGAACATGCTGGATGTGAGCAGAACCATCAAACGCTGACTTTCATCCGTGTGCTTTGATGCTGCGATGAATCAGAAACATTCGACCAAGTCAAAGTTTTGGTTCATCTGGACCTGAAGAGACGAGTTCACTAGAATCTGAAGCAGCAGCTCTTAGGATCAACTCACCTTTATTTATTTATTTCTGCAGGTGAACATCCTGGCTCTGAGCATCTGCACCCGTGAGGCGTACCAGTCCATGAAGGAGCGAGGCGTCGATGACGGCCACATCATCAACTTGAACAGGTGCGGTTTTAGTCCGAGGTTACATTGTCACGCTCTCGGCGGTTATTTCTGACTAACATCTCACGCGTTCGCCCCGTTCCAGCATCTGCGGACACTATGTGCTCAACATGCCTGACGCGCACTTCTACACGGGCACCAAGTACGCCGTGACCGCCCTGACCGACGGCCTGAGGCAGGAGCTGAGGGGGGCCAAGACCCACATCAAAGCCACAGTAGGGCCTCGCCGTCGCCGCGTTTTGAAGGCGTGAGAAAGCAAACCAAACTCAACCGTTTTTTTGTCTACAGTGCATTTCTCCGGGTGTGGTGGAGACCGAGTTCGCGTCGAGGCTCTTCAAAGACAGCCCGGATAAAGCTGCAGCCTTGTACTCCCAGTATAAGGTGAACAAACGCTGTTAGCGGGTAAATGATGTTGTTATGAGTTCATGCAAAACGTTCTCATTTGTCTTCAACAGCCGCTGCAAGCCATAGACATCTCTAACGCCATCATTTACGCCCTCAGCGCTCCGCCTCACGTGCAGGTGTTTGATCTTCTTCTTGTTGCTTGACTGATCGATTGATCAATTGATCGATTGATTGATCGATCGATCGATTGGTTGATTGATTGATTAATTGATCGATCAATTGATCAATTGATCGATTGATTGATAGCTATCTGAGGTTTTCTGAGCTGCGTCCTTTCTTGCAGGTTGGGGACATGGTGATTTGGCCCGTGGAGCAAGATGCAGTTTAAACACTTGGCCTGAGTTTTTTCTCTGAACGTAACACGAGCGTCTTCACTGAAAAAGAATAAAGTCTTGATTTAATGATTAATTTTGCTGATGTTTCTCTTCTTTATTAGAAAAAGGTCCTTTTTGATGCACGGGTGGGGGCTGGGGCGGGACCGGTGCGGGCCTGCAGGTTTGATCGGTGAACGTTTGTCTCTTTTGTCGTTTTTTAAACTCTCGTTGGGTTTCGGTCAGCTCTGCTTTTATTCTGTTTTCTTTGTTTTATAAAGTCGGTTTTACCGTTTCGGGCACGCTCAGTTTCTGTCTCCCCGTCACACACGACTGAAATCTCTGAATACCGCACCCTTCATTCACATCGACTCACTCCCTCAGCGTACACAAACACCCGCTTTTCGTTTTCCTCGATCCTCAGCAGCCTCGTAATTCCGGTTTTATTCACTCGTCCATTTTGTTTTGTTCTAAGTTAAAAGATTCATGTCTGCGTTGTTTGATAAAGCAGTTTTCAATTAATCATTTGATAAAACTGCCCAAGGCAGCGCTGTCTTGTGAGAAAAGTTATTGCTGATTTAGCTTAACCGGTTGCTCCGCTCCTGGCACCGCCGCAGTTAACCATTCAAACAATCGTTCTCTTTAACAATGTTTAAAGTCAGCCACACAGGAATGGTTTCCAGGATTAAGGTCAAAGGTCAGACTTTCTCCTTCAGGGTTTTTTTTGCTAGAGAGCAGAATTCCTGGTTTCAGCAGTAACAGACGTTTTTTGGGCCCCAAAGCAGCAGTGATGCCCCAGACCATCACACAGCCACCACCGTGTCTGACTGTTGCTATGATGTCTAGGGACTCCAGATGGAACTGGACACACACCTTCCAAAAGTTCTGCTTTTGTCCTTGAAATATTTACCCATAGGTCTTTGGGATTGTCGGGATGTTTTAGGTAAATGTGAAACGGTTTTTGCCTTAGAGCTCTCTCATGGAGGGCATCTTTGTCCCTTGTCTCTTGAATATTGTTAAATTTTGACCTCTGACCTCGGCCAAATGAGTCCAGCAGAGCTTTAGATGTTCTTGGTCTTTAGTTCATGATGATTGTTTACCCTACTTCCTGTTATTGGAGCAGTGATCGCTCGGGTGTGGCCGGCGGAACTGAACTCTACTTTATTAATGTTAATGATTAAAGTTCATTTATAATCTGATAAAGGGTGCTGTTGCCTTTGACGTTGATTTAAAAGTAGCTTAGATAGCTCAGGTTATCTTTGTCTGATACTGAATTTTACTTAATTTTCTTCAGCAAATGCACTTTAAAAACTGTTTTTTCACATTTAATCTCACCCTAATATAGTCTAATTGTTTATCATATTTATCTTTTTCTAACTGATTATTTCTACCATAACCTACAAGAGTACAGGAGACCAAACAAACTGTAATAATAATAATAAAAATATGACCATAATGCATTTTTACATTAACATTACAGTCTAAGGCTGTTTTACTGGGCTTAGATCAGCTAATTCAGAGCAACAAGTCTTGTTCTGAATAAAACACATCCGCACATTGTTATTGAGCATTTTATAATATATTCTAATCTATATATATATCTATATTTAATCTATATAATATATATATATATATATATATATATATATATATATATTTATATATATATATTGGGGGCGACTGTGGCACAGGAGTTAATAATGTAATGAATTTATAGAGCGCTTTTCTAGACACCCAAAGACACTTTCACACACTCTCACATTCACACACTGCTAGTGATGGTAAGCTACTTGCAGCCGCCCTGGGGAGGTCTGACAGAGGCGAGGCTGCCATTTGGCGCCGTCGGCCCCTCTGACCACCACTAACACAGGCAAGTTGGGTGAAGCGTCTTGCCCAAGGACAGAACAGCAGGATACCCCTGGTGGGAGCTGGAATTGAACCCACGACCCTCCGATCATGAAGCAACCCGCTCTACCACCTGAGCTACTGCTGACCCAGTTAAGAGCTCGCCCCGTAATTGGAAGGTTGCAGGTTCGAGCCCCGCTCAGTCTGTCGCTGTCGTTGTGTCCTTGGGCAAGACACTTAACCCACAGTGCCTGCTGGTGGTGGTCGGAGGGACCGGTGGCGCCAGTGCTCGGCAGCCTCGCCTCTGTCAGTGCGCCCCAGGGCAGCTGTGGCTACATCGTAGCTCATCACCACCAGTGTGTGAATGGGCGAATGACTGATTGTGTTGTAAAGCGCCTTGGGGGGTTTCAGGACTCTAGAAGGCGCTATATCAAATACAGGCCATTTACCATTTTTACCATTTATATTCTATTTATTTCATCATGCAAAAGAGCACTCTGAATTCAGTCCTGCATTTTATCTCAAAAGAAAAACTGTCGTGCACAGATTTTTATTTCTGTCTAACAGAAACATCCCGTACATCAAGCTCAATAATAAACTAGCAGCTGCTGAATGAACATACCCTGAACGGGATCCAGCTGTGTAAACACATAGTTTTATTGCGTATGGAGGAAAAAGTTCGGCGACAGAGTGATTAATGAAATACCCCGTGTGTTTGGACTTAAACCAGGGATCGTTTCACAGACAGGTTCTGAGAAAACATGGCTGTTTCTGCCGGTAAAAACTCTGCCAGACATTCTTACTCAATTTCCTCTCTCCTCCTCCAACTATTTATCGCCTTCATTCCTCTCTTTCCCCTCTTGCAGATGTCTCTGATTCCTACTTGTCTTTACAAGCCACCCTGACCAGGATTACCCCAAAATCTCTTCCTTTTATCTGTATGCAGACAACGTCTCTCCCTGGAGCTCCAGCCGGCGTTTCACAATTAGCAGTTTCTCCTGTAAGCAACAAAATCCCACGTGAATAATCCTGCCGTGAGAAGTGGAGGAGAGTGTGAACGTTTGTAAAGTTGGGTTTGCATGAACTGATCAGGCATCTTTGAGATTTCAGCTGCTTTTCCTCAGCGCGTTGCATTTGAGGACCACATCACCGACGGTAAACTAGAAGCTGCGAAACGCACAAAAACAGAGAATCTGAGTAGATCTGACTGGTGAGTGGGTCTTTTTTGCAGATTAAAGTAAAATTATATTCTTTTGATGAAATTTAGAGATTTATGGTTATTCTAAACACCACGTAAGACATCGTAAACAGCACAAAACCAAAAGAATCTCCTTGTGCCATTTTAACAGTTCAATGCCAAAAATATCCCGTTTGCTTCATTAACCAGGGTGTGAATGTGTACGTGTGAATGGATGAATGATGGACTGTAGTGTAAAGCGTTTTGGAGTCCTCTGATTCAGAAAGGTGCTATCCAAATGCGGGTCATTAATTATTTTATCATCTATCTCCTGAACAGGATTGATACATCAACTGTGTGTCACAATCTGCCCCTGCCTCCCTGACTGTGTCTCTCCCCTGCCTGATTAGTCTTTATTGTTCTCACCTGCCCCGTGTTAATCCGCCCATCATGTGTTCCTGATTTTCCCCTGTGTATTTATACCTCCCTTCTTGTATCAGTTTTTGTCGGATCATTGTTTGTTGTCAGCATTGTTTTGTACTGTCGTTCCCGCTCTGCCATTAAATCTACTTTTATTTCATCCGTGCATGCATTCCTGCCTCCTGATCTGCTCCACCACACATGGTCCGCCGTCATCCACACTCCTCAACATGACACTGTGTGCAGCTCTGCTGCTCTCTTGTGGAAGAGCTAAGTACTGCAAGAGCTCAGTGCTGATTTATTTTATTACTGACGTCATGAGATTATTCATAAGAGCCTATAAATAGATCCATATTTTAACAAAATCTGAATTAATTTCATGTGCCAGGCTTCAAATGGTTAATATGGGGGTAATTGTGTTTTTTAACAATTGTTAATTTAATTGGTAACACTTAACACAATCAGGGTCTCTTAATGTTACTTGGTGCATTATTATACATTAATGAACTATTCAGTAAAGTATTAACAACTGTTTAACCATTTAATGCAATGCTTTACTGACCAGCCCCCCAGCCCTTTGTCCTAACCTTAAAGACATTTAATAGTTAACAACACCCGGAAATTGACCCTTTTTTAATTTATGCTTAATAAACATGCAATATAATTTTAATAAAGGGGCCCATATTAGCTTTGCCATTCAACTAAACCCTGAATTTTTAATAATTAAATATGTATCATGTATCTTAAGAAAGTACGCATTAAATGTCCAAATACATGGATACCGTGCTGAAAATTAAGCAGTGACCCTGAACGCAGCTCTGCTCAATTACGTATTACGTAACTTCTGCGTGGTCCAAGTGCAACCGGGGGTCACGGAGAGGTCACGCTCTTGCTCCGGTCTCCTGTCTGCCGTCATGGATCGCTGGAAGAGCCGGACGGCTCTGGTAACCGGAGCCTCGGTCGGTATCGGTGCGGCCATCGCTAAAGAGCTGGTCCGGTTCGGCATGACGGTGTTGGGTTGCGCCAGGAACGTAGAGAAGATCCAGGTTTGCACCAACAAGCGAGAATGCTAATGTTATGCTAGGATACTTAAAAAAAGTAAATTAATTATAATTTATGGCGCCATAATTCCCTTCTAGCGAACCCGATCACGCAGATAATGTCCGTGTCACGTTTAGTTGAACAGTTATTGTGAGTTTTCAGCGGCTTCAGACGCAGAACGTGCGTGACATGTGAATGGACAGCTAGCATCAGTTAGCTCATGTAGATTTAGCTCCCCAGGAGTGATTCTGCACGGAAAACCTTTAAAGTTAAAGGTTAGTAGTGTCATGTGATGCAGCCTGTGACTCGTGGATGGGCTGATTTTAACTTCCTCTAAAGGTTTCATGGGTCTGATGAGAAGGTCACTGTTTAATAGATTAGATGCAGCAAACATAGACGTGTTGGTCCTGGAGGCAGAGAGTGAGTGTAGCATGTTAACCCAACACTAAAACCTTGTCCTCCTTAGTTCTTATTTTTTACACATCAGATTAAAATGTGTCACACATAATAATCCCGAGACATGGAGTTGAAATTATATCCTCCAATAGACTGAAAGGCTATACAGTTTTATTTCTAATCTTCAGGTGTTTTTCAGGTTTGTTTGGATGAATATCGGAGAAATTTGCAAGAAATCCGACAAAATACTCTAAAATCTGAAAAAACACAAAACTTGATCTGATTCCAGAAACTAGCTGCAGAGTGTCAGAGTGCAGGTTACCCCGGCGTCCTGATTCCTCTCAAATGTGACTTGAGCAACGTGGAGGAGATCCAGTCCATGTTCTCACACATCAGATCTCAGCACAAAGGCGTAGACGTGTGCGTCAGCAACGCAGGTCTGGCTCATCCTGAGTCGCTGCTCAGTGGAAAAACCAGCGGCTGGAAGAACATGCTGGATGTGAGCGTTCACAGATCGGTGTTGTCTTAGACGCCTGATTATGGGCTGCTGTTTCCAGGTGAGTTGACGCACGTCTGTTATTCCAGGTGAACGTTCTGGCTCTGAGCATCTGCGCACGAGAGGCGTACCAGTCCATGAAGGAGAGGAGCGTTGATGATGGGCACATCATCAACCTAAACAGGTGTGGTGTTACCTAAAGCTAATGCACAGTTGTGAAACGGCAGTTCTAATAAATACTTGGAAAGGTGTAGTAATCATCTACTGGAGAAACCTTGATGGGGCTGGCCACGTGCAGCAGCGGCACGGAGAGTCTAAGCCAAATAGAGAGCTATGATTTTCCCACTTTTTGAGCTGCAAACATCAGCTGCATCTCAGTAACGAGGCTGGAGCAGACTGAAACGTAAACAAACAAACCGTCGCTGTGGGAAAACTAAAAGCCAATCAGAACAGTATTTGAACTTGAGCGTTCCGAG